TCTCTGCATTACTTTGTTTTGTTTTACTCTCCACATAATGCTGTGAGCATTATCTTTGCCTACAATTGGGAGACCAAGACACAGAGCGATGAAGGGGCTTTCCCCAGACCACCCAGTGTGTGGGTAACAGGAAGAACTCTGCCTGCAGACCCCACACGGCTGGCTTCCCACCACCGCCTGCCACTGGCAGGAGCTGGCACCGTCCTCACAGGTCCTGGCCCCCTTTGTGGGATCCTATTGGTAGAGCTTCCAGAAACATTCAAATTGGAGAAAGAGAACGTGCTAATCACATAATATCCCTTTGAGCTCTAAGTTCCTGGGAACCAATGTCTAAGTTGACTTGTTAATGAATTGGTCCAGATAATCCTCCTCTTTGGTAATGAGCTGCTAACTAATTTGGGAGTTAGCTGCTGTAATGTCAAGGTCATGTGATGTCCATGCCTGGCCATTCACGGGAGAAAAGGAAGCTGGTTTGGTCATGGCAAGGTTTTCCTCATTCCTCCCCTCCTTCCATTTGGACACAGACGCACTCTGAAACCACGTGGCCATGATTACAACACGATGATACAGAATTTGGTCCTCGACAGTCATCTTGGCCCTGTGTAAATGGCCTTTCTTTCTGGGGTCACATTTTCAGGGCCAGGAACAGACTAATCTGCCCGCACTTTCCAGCTGAACAAACTCGAGTAAGAAATGAGGAGGCGGGTGCCAGCTGGCGGCCTGGACGTGCGGCCCGCGCAGTTGCACCGGGTCCCTGCAGCAGCGGCACCTGCTCTTGTTAATGCTCTGCTGTTGCCGCTGTGAGATTCTTAATTCGTTGTGAACAAGGGACTCTGCATTTTTAATTTGCATAGAGTCCCGCAAATTATGCAGCCCGTCAGGATGTTAGTCTCTGAGACAGTCATCCAGCCAGCTCAGGGCCCCGCCAAGATTTTAGGTCTCCCAGGGAAGGCGGGGGATAGGCCAACCCACTGCCGACAGATCCCCAGGAGTGTGGGGTCAGGACTTCCTGGGGCCTCAGAGCCCCCATGCTCAGCGAGGACAGAGGGGCTGTTCGTCACTGGGCAGAAGTTCCATTGGAAGCCAATGAGGCGGAAGCCTGGTGCCCACCCCAAACGCCAAGAAGCTATGGAGTGTCCCCAAGAATAACAGTGGTCTTTTATTCAGGGCCCTTTCCCCACATTCCAGCTTAACCTACTTAGAATTTGGGGCAGATGAAAAACAGGTTCGATATTTAACAGGCTACACGCTTTTGGATTTTTTTAACCCTTTTATTTTAGAAAGCATTTTTATTTGGAAAAATTTAATCTTTTTTTACTTATTATAAAGTCATATTCACTGACAAACACAACATTTCATTAATGATGAGCAAAAAAAATCACTCACAGTCCCACTCCCCAGTGATGACCATTATTAATGTGTTTTTAAAAATATATTTTTATTGATTTCAGAGAGGAAAGGAGAGGGAGAGAGAGCTAGAAACCTCAATGATGAGAGAGAATCATTGATTGGCTGCCTCCTACAGGCTCCCTACTAGGGATCAAGCCCACAACCCGGCATGTGCCCTTGACTGGAATCAAACCCAAGACCCTTTAGTCCATAGGCTGATGCTCTATCCACTGAGCCATATCAGCTAGGGCCATTACTAATGTTTTAATGCACATATATGCATACAGGTACTTTAAAAAACCATAATAGGATTATACTGTACATGGAATCATAATTGCTTTTCTTTCATTTAATATTTTGAGAACATGGTCCCATGTCAGTATATATTCTGCTACTTCATCACATTCATCTACCATGATTTTAATTGAATTTCCAGTTTGTTGAACTAACCTATGTGGATTGAGATTTAGATTGAGTCTTGTTTCTTGCTGTTTCAAACACACAGTGCCCTGATGAACAGGCATGTGGCTACATTTTTGCAATCACTCATGACTTTGCTTTAGCATAATTTTCTAGAGTTGAATTTTTTGAGAGCTACTGGACCAATCGCCTCGAAGGACTGTTGTACCCACGTCCGACCCTATCAGCAGTGTGGACGAGTTTAGGAAGTGTTCCTGCAGTCCTGTGGAGACTCAGTTTTGGGGGTGGGTGGGAGGTTGTGATTCACACCCAGAAGAAACTCCTTCTAGACTCTCGCGTCATTTCCAGAATGACAAAGGGTCAATCGCATGGGGATGTAAGGAGTGGTCGTTTTTTTATGATTTGTAGTCCAGGCAACTAGTGGTGGGTGAAAATTATCCTAAAGACATAACTGCCAAGGGGCCGCCCAAATATTCTACTTGCCTGTAATCACACCTTCTAATTATATGTAATCACATGGTGCTGAATCTAGGATTTATGTACACGACACTCATGTAATTTGAAAAAACAAAACAAAACAAAACAAGACTCTGTTTGCTCCTCATTCAATCATCAGTAATTTGGGGGCTGCAGGGATCCCCTGCCTCTCTCCCCTCCCAGCTCCTGGTCGCCTGGAGAAGAGAGGTCATGCCCTATGTCTGACCATCAGTGAGTTCCTTAATCTTCAGCTTCCTTTGTGAAGGAACATTTCAGCTACATCTTCCATGTCTGTGAATGCCCAGCTTCATCACCCCAAGTCCCTGTTTGCATCCGATTTCCTCTTAGGGATCCATACGCAATCTTTCCCCAGGCCGGCATCTGGGCTTTGGGGAAAAAATCTACGAGAGGGAAACACAAGTAAACCTCCCAGAAGCGCAGCTAAAATTTAGAGGCTCAGTCAATCGAGGGAGCTGTCACGTTTATTATTATTTTCAATCACAAAAATTGTATTTGTACTAGCAGGGTGATAGATGTAGAATAAAATCAGAATTAACTGTTACCGATCACACAGAGACTTTGTCGTCAGTGGGTGTGTGATGGACGACATGCTTTGAAGGTAAGTTCCCCTGCGGGTTACTGCCCCAGGAATACATGCGAATGTCACGAAGAACCATTGCCACGCTGGAGTCATTTTCAGTGGCCAGCAGCTGGGCCCTGTGGTTTGGTTTCTTTCCCTACACAAAAATGCAATGGATCATACAGCCTCTGCCGTGGGCAGTCTTAGCATTCCCATGGCACAGTGGCTCATTCTTTTAAAAATGCATTAAATATGAATTAGCCATTTATCAGTAATAATAGCATACATTATTTTCTTGCTCCGTCTCTTCTTTCTCTTTCTTTCCCACTTGCCCTGGCGTTCTGTTCCCAGCTCCTCGCCTCATTCATTTCTGCGCTTTCAGAACTGACTCACGCGTCTCTTTCCAGTTCCTTTTGTAACAACTCCAACACCTTTCCTTTCGCATTTGTGATTTCTGCCTAGCTTTTCTCCCTTGTTTTTCTTCCCACCACCAAACCTCGCTTATTTTCGTTTTTCTCCCAATGGTCTAATCTTTCTCCACGCCTGTCACTTTTAATTGAGGTTGGCTTCATGGTTAAGATGAAAAAAGTCTTTCTCTTTTCATGCTCTTAAAGGAGCCAGCCCCTCTATCGCTCCAGCCTCCCCGAGATCACTGCCTCTCTTGGATGGGATCCCCAGCTCCCTCTTTCATAAACTCCATCAGAGGACAACAGCTTTGTGCTCTGTGGGATACACCAGGCCATGAAGCTTCCAGATCTGTTGTTCTGAATTCTCAGTGTTGCTTTCTTTACAAAAAAAAATTTTTTTTTATTGATTTCAGAGAGAAAGGGAGAGGGAGAGAGAGAGAGAAACATCAATGATGACAGAATCATTGATTGGCTGCTTTCTGCATGCCCCACAGTGGGGGTCAAGTCCACAACCCAATTAGGAATCAAACTGTGACCTCCCGGTTCATAGGTCAATGCTCAACCACTGGGCGATGCAGGCCGGGCTCAGTGTTGCTGTCTTAAGCATTGTGGAGCAGCCTTGCTATAGCTTCACCCCTTTCTCTCTCACTGCTTCTGCTATGTATGGGTGCTTTGAGCTGGCATCACCCTTCTTGTCAAAGGGGAAATTGGTAACCCTAAACTCACTAATCAGAATGTAAAAATGTTTAAAGAGAGGTGTGAGACTCAAATTACCACCCTAACAGGTTCTCTCATTTGTGGAATAAGAAGAACTTGAGCTCTGACCGGTTTGGCTCAGTGGATAGAGCATCGGCCTGCGGACTGAAGGGTCCCAGGCTCAAGTCCAGTCAAGGGCATGTACCTTGGTTGCGGGCACATCCCCAGTGAGGGATGTGCAGGAGGCAGCTGATCGATGTTTCTAACCCTGTATCCCTCTCCCTTCCTCTCTGTGAAAAATCAATAAAATATATTTTTTTTAAAAAGAAGAACTTGAAAGGACATGGAAAATTCTGGAACAATAGTGATGAGATATGGTTTGCATGGGGAACAGTTCACTCTGCCTCTGAATCCTTATCACGGGACATGTTTCTCTCTTTGGGAGACTCCCTGGACCATCATATCCACATGACGGGAACATCTTAGACTTTTTTTTGAGGTCTTGCTCAAGTCCATTCTTAAATGAGTGTGTGTGTGTAGGGGGTGGGTGTGGATAATATGAATTCTAAAATGTAGAATATCTCAGACTCTCCACTGAGTCATTTCCTTATTTTTATTAATTGGCTTAGACCCAACTACAGAACGAAAAGCTATTTTTATGCATTTGCTCACAACTGAGAGATCTAACACAAGATTTGAGCAACGCAAGCTGCCAGTTTAAAAAGGGAGAAAAACGCCTTAGTATATCCCATTAGAGTAGGCTGGCAATATGTTTCACATTTTGAGATCATCTTTGCCTTCTAACACTTTTATAAATAGGTTCAGAAAAACCTATAGGTTAAAATTAACCATGGGGGGATGTAACACTGCTTGCAGATAAAGGGGACTCTCTCTATCACGTTCCCTCTACTGTGGCTTCCTGGGATATGTCTTCTTTGTGCTTGACTTCTGCATGGGGTGATGGATTGAAACTCTGTCAGACACAAGCGCCGTGTAATAAAATGTGACTCACGTCTCCACTCCATTGCAAAAGTCATAAAATCAGTAACTCGACATGAGGCTGACTCAGTAATTGCCCAGAATCATCTTTATTGAAATTATACTTCAATCTAGAAGTGAGAAGTGAAATAAGCCGTGAAGTCATCCTGAGCCATTCTGGACCAGGTTAAGAGTCCTTTTTCATGACTCTCTCAATTTAGCTTTGTGATCATCAGTCATGCAACAGCCCTGATCGTTAATTTGGCAGATTTCTATTCTAAGTAGCTGCAAAACTACAGAACATATATATCACGAAGAAGAATAGCACATGCCCTGAGATAAAGAAGCATTTACTTTGCAAGGAAATCACAGTCCATAAAACTCAGGAAAACCTGGAGGTAGGTTAAGGAGGTTTTTCTTGAAGTCTAATCTTGTTGGTGTCCAGGCGGTGGAGGAGCAAGGTTGGCCGGGGGATGGAATTTGTCCGGGTGTGGCTCCTGGGGCAGTGGAGAGAGGTCTATATGTCCGAGGGACGGGACTGCCTGCTGAGTCATCGTCTCCCTTCTAGCTGTCAATGGCCCATGGGAAGACAAGAAGCAGACAAGAAAGGGAGCTGGGTTAGGTGGGCTGGGCCGAGTAGACAGTGCAGTGGCTCCAAGGGGCATCAGTTCTAGAAATGCAGGTTTTTGGTTTTTTTAAAATATATTTTATTGATTTTTTACAGAGAGGAAGGGAGAGGGAGAGTTAGAAACATCGATGAGAGAGAAACATCGATCAGCTGCCTCCTGCACACCCCCTACTGGGGATGTGCCCGCAACCAAGGTACATGCCCTTGACTGGAATCGAACCTGGGACCTTTCAGTCTGCAGGCCATCGCTCTATCCACTGAGCCAAACTGGTTAGGGTTAGAAATGCAGGTTTGACTGTGGCTCTCCATCCCTAGAAGGGGATCTCCAATCTCTTAGCAGAAGCATGGCAACAATCTCTTAGCATGACAAAAATACTGCCAGCAAGGCTCCACTCATCCTCTGCGTCTGCTTTACTCTTAACTCCCTGGCCAGTCTGTTCTCTCTCTCTCTCTCTCTGGAATACCCTAATCTCTTATCTACCTGGAATATTTGGATTTGTTTTAGAAAACTCAATTTATCTCCCCCCTGCCCCCAGGAAGTTTTCACTGACTCCAGAGATGGAGTCCTTAACTCTCTTTATCAAGTGCATGCTTCTATTGATTTATGTATCCAAAGCGGCACAACTTACTTGTTTGTTTGATTTATTTATCAGCTTCCTCTAATGAACTATGAGATCCCTGAGGATAAACCTGTGTCCTTCATTCATGCTTGGATCTGCTGTGCTTAGCACAGAACCTAGCACACAGTAGGAGCTCATTGCAGTCATGTAGAGCAGCGGTTCTCAACCTGTGTGTCGCGCCCCCTTTGGGGGTCGAACGACCCTCTCACAGGGGTTGCCTAAGACCATCGGAAAACACATATATATATATATATATATTCACATATTGTTTTTGTGATTAATCACTATGCTTTAATTATGTTCAATTTGTAACAATGAAATTGGGGGTCACCACCACATGAAGAACTATATTAAAGGGTCGCGGCATGAGGAAGGTTGAGAACCACCGATGTAGAGTGAGCTGAATGAAAGAATGAATGAGAGAAGAGACACATTCAGGGTATTGTGAATCTAGGGGGTGGAACAACCACAGATGCCGTTGTGGGAGAGTCTGAGGTAAATGTTTCTGAGATAGTGCCATGAATCAGAGCGCTCTCCTGGCTTTGAAGGGCTCACAGATTCAGCACAGAGTAAAGTTAGAAATCATCTAGCCCCACACCCCACTCCTAGGGCATTAGTGACAGAGGAGCAGATGGCCTGCATTTGAACACCCCAGGGCAGCCGCTTACCAGGCAGCCCATGCTAGTCTCAGATGGCTATGTGTTGTTGTTTTTCATGATTTCCCCGCATAATTTACTTCTTTGGCGCCTTCATCTGAATAAGCTCGCAGTAAAATTTAGCTATTATTATTGTCTGTTTTTTCAGCATGAAAAACACTTAAAGGTTGTTATTAACTTTCCATCTGTTCCCAAGGCTAATTTCCCTAATTTCATAAACCATGACTTGGGTTCCAGATCCCTCACCATTCTGGTCCCTGTCATCTCACTAGCCATGCAGCTCACCAGCCACCAGGGCAGTGACCAGCGTGCTTCTGGTGACCTGCTCTCTGACACCTTCCAGCTCCATTCATTTCAGAGAAAGGCCCCTTTCATTCCTCTCAACTGTGCTTATCAGAGACCAGTGCCCAGAGCAGAAAGTCAACGTTGTGATTGCTCAGTGTGGGTGAAAAAAAAATATGGGCACATAAAGAAGGATCAAACCCAGTGTGGCTTTCATTTACCGAAGGAGAGCTGGGGTCTGGAACGTGATTTTAAACAAGTGATCAGGGACACAGCGAGCACATATTTAGAAAGACTCTGATAATATGAAACAGAAATGATAGAAGAAAGCAAGCTTCCTTCCTGTATTATTTATTTGCACATTGCTATTTGCTCATCAAAAAGGCAAAATAAAATAACCTTTATTTCTTGGAAGCAAAATCATTCCTAACTCAAATAAATTGAAATGTGAAAGAGTAAGAGACTGGTGGAAGATTAAAAATAGACTGTGGGTTTTTAAGTTCTTTTAGAATGGTTTTGGGGGAAAACACAGACAAAGAATCTGATTCTCCTTTCTTGACGCAGGCAACACAAGAATGAAAGCAACAAGAAGGTGGAAAGCCCTTCTACACTCAAGTTATCGGCGGTAAAGAAATAATTTCTGAATGATGGTGATGATATGGGCCTAGTGTAAACCAACACCTATAAGGATTTCCTAACTAGTAGCCTGCATTTGTGTGACGTGGTTTTTATTGGCGATTCTTCTGCACAGAGATCACTATTCTCTTACCCTTTCGTTCACAATGGTACATCTTTGCCAAGTGGTTGCCTGGGGAGAGGGCTGTTACATCTCTGCAGAGCAACTGAGATCTGAATGCTAGTTGAGTAGAAGATGCTGGTTGTGTCAAAAGATGCAGCTGAACAGGGGTGGGGCCATGGCCATAGGGAAGAGAAGACACAAGCTGGAGGAGACTGCCCGTTCCAGGTGAGTCAGCACAGGGGAACTGGAGTTTTGTGATAGGACTCTTTATTGCGGATGCAAAGATTGTTTTTACCGGTGGCTCCTAGACTAGCAACCCTCAGAGTCTACATTCACGGTGAAATTCAGGAATGTGGTCCATAGAAAGCCAGTGAGCAAGCTGCAGCAGCAGACATTGTCTGTTCCTTTTCTCCCCTTCCTTCTTCCGCACAGGACGCTGGTCTTCTGCAAGTATCTCCTTTTTCTTTAAAGCAACACTGTGCTCACCAGGACGCTGGCCTCTCCCCCCAGGGGATGAATTGTTAATAGCCCAAGCTAAGCATGGCAGTCTGTCTTGCTGGTGATTAGTTTAAGCATCTGCACATGAGGATCTGGCCAGTGAGAAAAGAGCAGTCTATGCTGGGTTCTTTTGAAAAAGATTGTAAGGAGAGACACACAGGAAGAGACAGTTTATTATTCTACTAAGCATATCACATCTGGATGTGATGCCGTCAATGACGGGAACTAGCCTGAGGATACAGCCCAGATGTTGAAGATGACTCATCAGAGGCTGTACCTGAAACACTGAATGAACCAACCACAGAGCTGCCGGTTACAGACTGAATGTTGTGTCTCTCCAAAATTCATGTTGAAGTTTTAACTCCCAGTGCCTTAAAATAGGGCCTTTAACGAGATAATTAAGGACCATTGCAGTCATTGGGTGGTCCCTAAAACATCTATTGTCCACTCTGACCAGTGTCTTGATGAGGTGTGGAGATTGGGACATACAGAGAGAGGGAGAGAGACAGAGAGAGAGAGAGAGAGAGAGAGAGAGAGAGAGAGAGAGAGAGAGAGAGAGAGACAGAGAGAGAGACCAGAGATGCATAAGCAAATAGAAGGAGCCCATCTGCAAGCCAAGGAGAGAGGCCTCAGGAGAAACCAAACCTCCCACACCTTGATCTCAGACTTTAGCCTCCAGAAGTGCGAGAAAATAAATTTCTGTGGTTTAACTCCTCCCCAGCCCCTCCACCAAGTCTGTGGTATTTTGTTACGGCAGCCCTAGGTTGGGCCTTCTTGATATATAAAGCCATACAATTTTTTTATTTGTTTAAGTCACTTGACTAGTGTTTTCTGTTCTGAGTTGTTAAAAACACACACACACAAATAGATTGTAGCAGTATGATCCTATTGCAAGTGTCGACAAGTCTGAGGACAGGAGATGCAGAGAGAACATGTGCCAATCAAGGTCAGAAGACCACAGAAGATTATTCTGAGTAACACTGTCACAGACACAAGGAGTAGCAGGTCATCTCATGACCAGGAGGAAGCTGAACATGTTGGAGGAGTGGTTGCATTTTCTCCCCATATGCTGGGATAGGGCTTTGGTCTCTGCTCTCCCAACTCTCCCATAGCTGGACCTGAGGATGGAGCCTCATGAGGATATGGTTTGTGGCCACAGGACAGAGTGATGCTGACTGTCCCATGTGTGGGCTCAGACCAACAACTATGACCTCAGCTAACCAATCAAGTTAACTAGCAACAGATGAAAAACAAAGTTTTACCAGCTTCAGGGAATGAACAAGTATAACGTCCTATGTACTAGTTAGAGGAGGATGGCATGGAACCTACTTCATTTCATGGGTTCCCCTTATTGATTTAGGTTAACCCAAGTTCTAACTTCAAAGCAAGAATTTGGCAACCACTGGATAAAATGAGATCCATTGCCAACATTTAAGGAACACATATGTTATCCAATAGCTCAGGTTTGGCTCTGAGCCATGAAATAAGAAATGTTCTTCCCATGACTACCTCCAAAGTTATATTTGTTGAGCCAAGTATATTTTCTAGGGAATAGTGGTCAGGTTGGCCACAGTCACATTATTTCAAGCTTTCAATGCTTAGATTCAAATAGCTTCTCTTTGGTCTTCCTGCCTCCAGAATCTTCCCTTCTAAGCCATTCTGCTCCCTGGTGAAGCTTCCTAAGATTACTTTCATTTCTTCCCCCACCTCCAGAACATCCATTTGGCTCTAAAGCTATTGGAGATCTCCTTTAGTGCGTCTGCCCAGGCTGCAGTCCTGTATTCCTGCTCTTTGTCCTGGAGGTGGGGCCCAGAATCCAAGTTTATTCATTATGACATCACTTCTATTATGTAGTTGGAATAGCACTAGGATTCTCTTTCACAGAAATTTGGAATTGGAAGTCGAAAATGCTGGTAGCTTCTGCTGGTCATTTGAACTGAGACGTAGATGTGTGAGCTGTGGAGTGGATTGTTTTATACCATATTCATAGGGCACAGAATACTCTTCTGAGCAGAGAAGAAAGGCTGAGGTAGACATGCAGAGAGAAGCTGAGGTGATAACGTACATGACTGGGGTGGAGTTGGGGGTCAAGACTAGGAAACTAGCTCCTGATAGCTTTTCATTCTTGATTCCAGACCTGC